ATTTAAGTGCCAGATCTATAATGTTCCAGCCACTCTGTACAGTAACTTCTTACCTTTTCAAATTCAGCTGGAAGACCCTACTCTTGACAATGGTGATGTGAGAAGGCTGGACTATTCGGCCCCACAGAAACCATATGTAAACTGGCAAATTATTAAAATGACCATTTCAGGATAAGCAACAACCATTTCAAAGGCAAGGAACAACCTGGGAAATGTTTATTCATGAAAACCTGCTAATGAATTGGATGAGAATAGTGAATTCATAGTCAACAAGCACATGGAAAGATGATCAGCATCATTAATCACTAGGGAAATGCTAATTAGAACTACAGTGAAATTAAAATACACCTGCTAGAATGGCTATAATTTAAAAGAGTGATATCAAGTACAGACAAGGGGATGCAGCCTCTGGAATTCTCATACATTGCTGGTGGAAATGCAAAATAAAATAGCTACTTTGGACAACAATTTGTAGATTGTTTTTAAAATTAAATACACAGTTAACAATTCTACTTCTAGATATCTACCCCAAAGACATGAAAACATTTCCCCCAAAAATTTGCTCATGAATGTTTGTAAAAACATTATTCATATGACCAACAAAATGTTGTAGTTGCCCCCTTATCCATGGGGATATGTTCCAAGACCCCCAGTGGATGCCAAAATTGTATGTAGTACCACACCCATGATAAAGTTAAATTTCTAAATTAGGCATAGTAAGAGATTAACAAAATAATAATAGAATAATCATAACAACATACTATAATGAAAGTTCTGTGAATGAAAGTTACAGTCTTTCTCAAAATATCTGTACTCACCTTCTTGTGATGATGTGAGGTGGTAACCTGTCTGCGTGATGAGATGAAATGAGGTGAATGACACAGGCATTGGTGGCGTGGTGTTAGGTCACTATTGACCTTCCGATCACAGGTTAGGAGGAGGTTTATCTATCTGCTTCCAGACCATGGTTGGTGGAGTAGGGAGTACAGAGGAATGGAATGTGAGGGAAGAGCTGTTTGCTTCTCATTCTCTAGTATAAAGAGAGGCCCCATACCAGGCTTTCCTTTGCCAATGAGATTATCAAGTGAGTGGCTGAGAAAGAGGAAGGAGTCTCTTGGGAGAGAGTGTAATGTAGAGTCCAAAGTATTCCTTTTCCCCTGGGCCAAGGGTCAACATGAGAAAGAAGAAGAAAACGGACCTCTAGGTAGAGCAGCCCCCGCAAGGGAGAAAGACTTCTTCGACAGCGTCCCCAACACCACTCATCTTTAAAAACTTATTAGATCAGGAGCACCTGGGTGGCTCAGTGGTTGAGCATCTGTCTTTGGCTCAGGTCATGATCCCGGGGTCCTGGGATCAAGCCCTGCATCAAGCTCCCCGCAGGGAGCCTGCTTCTCCCTCTGCCTGTGTCTCTGCCTCTGTGTGTCTGTCATGAATAAATAAATAAAAATTTTAAAAATAAATAAATAAAAACTTACTGGATCAAAGGAGTTTTGATGTTTTGGGGTTTTTTGTTTGTTTTTGTTTTTGTTTTAGAGCTGACTCCCTGGGGACATGGTATTTCTCCACTTTCTCCCTCAGCAGTGCTCCTTCCCTGGAGTGTCTGCTGTAGTTTAGACAACTATTCTCAGGATTCACTCGAGTAAGCAGTGGTTCTCAAACTTAAACTTGAGTTACAATCACCTGGAGCGCCTGCTAAGCCACAGATGGCTGCATTCCTGATGGAGTGTAAAGTGGGAGCTGAAAATTTGCACTTCTAACTTAGTCCAGGGTTCCATCAATGCTGCTGGTTCCAGCACCGCACCCGGAGATTGCATGGAGTAAGCATTCAGCCTTTTGCCCCAGTGTCAGGAAAACTCAAGTTACAAACCAGTGAAACTGAGATGAGTCACGCATTTGCCACGGCAAACCCCAGTCCCTCCTAGGCACTCCCTGGTGCGACTCCCTTTGTGTCCTCAGCTCTCCATGTGAGCCCTCAGCTGTGACACGGAGGCCTCTCTCCGGCCAGTTGAGCTTGCTTCCTCTCCCAGGTCAGCCTCTCCTTATCCCATGGTTCCTCTGAAAAAGAGTGTTTCCCTGGAATTCTGGGCAAGTCTCTTTAATCCAGTCCCAGGCCAAAGCAGCTTTCCTCCTATTCCCAGGCCCCCAGGGGGGGTGGCCACTGGGCTCTCCCCCGCAGGCAGATCCCCCAGCTGCAGGCACCCACGTGCATCAGCTCAGTGCGATCTGGGCTCCCACCTGCATGAGCACAGCCTGGCTCCCCGGCTTGCTGATCTCTCATCCCTGGTGCTGCCCCGTGGAAGGCATGGGACCCGGCCCCCGCTCTGGATCGCAGCTTGCTGGAATCTCTGACACTGTCCATGCAGCCCCATCCTTGTAGCTCCACTCCCTCTACAAAGGGTTCCTGCTCTTCCCTTCCCTTCCACCCTGGTCCAAGTTCAAATACCACCTGATCTTGACCCTCCCACACCCCACTCCCAAGCCCATCTTCCCAGGGTTATCCACTCTTCCTGTGTAACACTACAAAGGACCATAGGACATGTCATTTGATTCTAACACACTTTTCTTGTTCTAAGTCAGGCTGATTACCCGCCAAAGCCATCAAGACTCTTGGGGAGGAGGGGGCTTTTTTGGAGAGAGGAACAAAGTTACACTATACTCAAATTACTTATCAGTGAAAGCCTTATGATACTATGCAATAAAATTTACTTTACCCCAACCTGGATATTATATTACTTTTTGATAGATCAAAAGGCACTTTAAATGATTAACGGGGTTTTATTATAAGTGTTAATTATTATGGGTAATTGAAAATGAAAAAAATGAAATTAATAGATCTTTCTGGTTGATAGTATGATTGATATATCAGCTTGTATTCTATTAGAAAGAAGATAAAGTACAATAACGCCTTCTGATGTTTTCAGTGAAAATCTGGCTCAGACCTCCACTGCTTATATTTCAGGCTGTCACTGTTGCTAAAAATTTTCCTGACATATGGAACTGGATAGTGGAGTATAATTATGAAAGCCCAATTAAGAGTTTAAAGTATTAATATTAAAAGTTATTTTATTCTGTGTGGAAGATCTGTGTACATCATTAATCTTCACAATCTTAATTTTTATCTAAATGTAAAGGATACCATTCCCACTTGTCCCATCAGAAAATTCTTGCCCTACTGAAAAGATATTCAGCAAGTCTATCCTACCCAACTATATTTGTACATATACTTTGACATTATTTCCTTGAACATTAAAAATTATATGTCACGGATGCAAAAAGAAGTTGCAGCAATGTTAGAAAACAGAAAAGCCATTTATATTTTCACAGCATAAAATGGATTTACGAAAGTAGAGGGGCATCTTTCTTTGAAAATTGCTTCCAATAAGTTTCAGGGCCCAGCCACCATTATCATCACTTTTTCTATACAAATGATCCGTTGTAGGCTGCAGTCAATTTCTACGCAATTTTTTATACATCAAGGCTTAATGGAAAGAAGGAAGATGAAGAGGAAATATAAATTCAAATTTTCTGTTCATGGTCTAATGGCCTATTATTCAGCCAACTTTCTACATGTAGAAAGCCTTCATTAGTACACCATTAAGGATGACATTAAAACTTCTGATCTGTTCTTCTAGGCTGTAAGTTATGTCTCACATAACAAATTTTACTTGAGCTCCTTCAGGTCTGGTATCTCTATCTATAAATACCCCTATGTGATCATTATATCCTGCTATAGGAGTGTAATGGCACAGAGTATAAAAAATATATGTACCTTGGCTTGAAAAACTCCTTTTTTGAAAGTGTGAAATTTAATAAATAAATAAAAAAGAGGTAGGTGGCATAAGAGTAATGGAATGGATTTTAATTACTCTAATGTCACACTATTTGGCACAAGAGTAAACTTGCCTGGATGCTTCTATCAACACTTTAACCCTCCTCCATTCAGCAGAGTGTGATCTCCAGGATGATTTAGGTCATTATCTGATAGATGCTGCTTGCACCACCACCACTTCTCTCCATTCTAAAATGTTCCCCTTTGGGAAAAATCTGAGATGTACCCTCTCTAGTCTCAATCTTTTCCATTTGGGGAAACAGCATGACACTGCTTCTCTCTAAGTATTCCATTTTAACAGTAAATGTTGGTTTCTAGAACTTTCTAACCAGAGAGACTCATTAGCATGTAAGGTTCCTCTCACTAAGAAATCGCTTAGGGTATTCCTTTCATAATGACCTACTAGGGAAGTGCAAATTTCTTATCTCGAAATTGGTATATGAAGTTTCCGAATGGACAAGGGTGCAAGAGATTTCAGGCACTATCTCCTTCCTAACCATTTCCTATCCACTTTGCTCTTGCTCTCAGATCCTGAGCCCTCATTTGCTCACCCCTGACCTTACTTCTACGAGCAGTTCTGGTTGTGCGTAGGTGATAAATAAGAAGCCACTGCCTTGGAAGATTGTTGTTGGCTCAGGATGAAACTCCGTTCCACACTGAGCTCCTCCGCCCAGTCTCGAGATCTCTCATCTACCATGCCCTCATCTGATCATAGGGACTCTTGGCCTCGGCTCTCGATCCTTTATTGTCCCTCTCCTAACCTGGGTCTATCTCCGTGGAGTCTTACCTGGCAGGCTCTGCTGAGCTCTTCATCCCCAGTTCTTCCTCGCCTCCCAGGCCCTTCTGGGCAGCCCCTGACCCCCGGCCCAGGCCTGCTCTGGCCTATTGCTACACAACCCAGCTGAAAAGGACATCAACGTCCTCACCTCTGTTGTGCCCCCAGAAAACTACGTGAGTTCAGGCAAGGGGCTGAAGGATCTGAACTCTGCCTCTCTCCCTGTGTGACACCAGGGGCTGTGTCGGGGCATCTCTAGGGTCTCTTAGGAGTTGAAAACTCTAGTTGCTGCAGGGCCTCTTTCCTGCCTCCCTGTGCTTTCCATCTTCTGACTCTGTTTCAAGCAAATACCTGGGAGTGCAAAGTGCAGTGACGCGCAGGTAAGACTCCATGATGTATTGTAAAGGTGACAGCATTTATCTTTATTTTCAGTGCGCTGTACGGGTTACTGAGGGAGGCGGTATGGTCGGATATTGTCTCAGGCCTGGGTGGCCGGGCTCCCGGCATCCCAAGGGAGCTCCTCCACGTAAGCAGCAGGAAAATGGCCCCTTTTTCCGTTCACAGATCCAAACCACCATCCTTCTTCTTGCTTCCTGTATATAGTCACAATGTCGCCTGTGAAAATGCACATTTAGTTAGACAAACGGGGCCCTGTCATTTAAGTACATCCCAGGGACACCCGGGTGGCCCAGTGGTTGAGCGTCCGCCTTCAGCCCAGGGCCTGATCCTGGGGCCCGGGGATCGAGGCCCACGTCAGGCTCCCTGCATGGAGCCTGCTTCTCCCTCTGCCTGTGTCTCTGCCTCTCTCTCTGTGTCTCTCATGAATAAATACATAAAATCTAAAAAAAAAAAAAGAAAAAGTAAGCACATGCCTGAGCCCAGTCGGCAAGATAGTTTTAAGGAGATGCTGTGTTCAAGGACTTACTTGGCGGCACTCTCTGCACGCGATCCAGATGAAGCAAAATGTACTGACCACCTCGGTACGAGGCAGGTGGAATGCAGAGAATAAGGTAATGGGCAACCAACTTGTGGCATGAGGTAGTTTCATTAAAAACAGAATCCCATTTCCCTCTCTCGCCTGATGGCTTACTTTGGATACAGCCAGTGGCTTGTTACCAAACTCTTTCTCGGTGTCTGTGTTTTAAGGGTTTCTCATGTTTGTGGCCAAGATTGTCTGGTAGGGTGACTATTATGAGTATGTCTCAGCTACCAGACTTTTCTTTAGCTCAAGACAGCTTCTCTCCATTACATGTGCCAGTTTTACAGTCCAAAGTTCCAATGCACAGCTTTGCACAGGATCAAAACTCTCCATTCAACGACTTAGATAACTCGAATCAAACATTGATTTGAAGACCCTAGTTTTTAAAGCAATGATTCAAATCCACAGAATTCCTAAGAAACACATGGCCCTTCTCTAATTCTCTCTCTTTTAAAAAATACTATTATGATATTAATAACCCTAACGCTTAACCTGTTGCCCCAAATCCTCTGGCTAAGTCCTTCTCTTGTGAAAAAAAAAAAGTTCTTTCCCTCCGGCTGCTGCCTGCACATCAAAGCAGAAACTTCTTTCAGGATCCAACAGCTCTTTTATCTTGAGCATCCTTCTGAGGTAACTTTTCAATCTTTCTTTCTTTCATTCTCCTCCCCAGTTATTTTCTTTCTCAGGCAAAGGAGACTGTCCACCTTCCTTCTTTCTCCTCTTACTCATAAGTCACTTTTTAGTCTTACAGGAGATCATTCTCAGCCTAAGGTCTACTCCAATGAGTCCTCTCAGGTCAGCAGATCTCAGGTCAGCATGTTGACACAGCCTACTGATAGGAATTCAAACAAATAATTTAAAGTCTTGTTGCCAGCTTCCCGAAGTCTCCAATGGCTCCTTTTACTTACAGAACCCACTTATATTATAAAGTATAAGTAGACTTTGCTACCAACAGAGAACTGAAGACAAAGAAGAGAATCAATTTATTGTGTAACTACGTAACTCAAACTCAGGCCCTCGGGTCTAGGTGGCATCTGGGAAATGCGTTTTTTGTTCACAAAGAAAGTGGGAATACAGCACTTCTCTTACTCACTTACTGCTGCAGGTAACCCTAGGATGACATCATGAGGAACAGGGTGACTTCCAGAACACTTCCAACTTTTAAATAAAGGCAACGTTGATTTAAGATGAATGGAGGACAGGGTTTATTTTCTCTTTCCTTTTCTCTTATCTTTATTTATTTCTGAGCTAGAAGGAAAAGTAGTTGCTGGAAGAAACCTGACTGGCAAACTGAAAAGGAAGCACCCATTAACCGATAGCAAACATGTGGTGTCCCTGTTGTACAGCTGCAAAATGCATCATGACTTCCTGTTGGCTCTGGGTGCCACTCCTGCTCGTAGGTAATGAGCTCTTTCCTACAAACACAACTCTTTCTCACTAACCTTTTGACTTCCGGATCTCTGCCTTAGCTCTAACATCCAAACATGGTTGCTAAGTGGACACACAAAGAAAGTTGAGGCTAGTGACTTTCTTATTTAATGTTGAGGTCTACATAACCATGACAGCGTACCCATGTTCAACAAAAATCTGTAGTACAGGGGGTCATTTCCTAGATTGGCCATAAAACACTTTTCTGAGAGGCAAGTGGGAGAAACATCAAGCTGGGAGTCCTCTGACCCTGCTTCTAGAACTCACGCTTACCCTAAGCCATGAAAGGAAACCATTTCACATTCCTGTGAGTTCAGCTTTCTGAAAAAGAAAAAGGTGGGGCTACCTTCCTAATAACTTTCCATTCCTGACACTCTACCCCAGGTTAGCACTGTGATAAGAAGCATGACTCTGGGTTTCTGAGTTCAAAGCCTGCACTATCACTTCCTGCAACTTCAGCCAAAGTACTTAACCTTTCTATGCCTCAGTCTCCTCAACAATAAAATGGGGATAAACAATAAAACCTACCCCCCAAAGGGCTTTTATGAACATTAAATGGGGCAATGTGTTGGGATGCCTGGGTGGCTCAGTGGTTGAGTGTCTGCCTTTAGCCCAGGGTGTGATCCTGGAGTCTCAGGATCGAGTCCCACATCAGGCTCCCTGCGAGGAGCCTGCTTCTCCCTCTGCCTATATCTCTGACTCTCTGTGTCTCTCATGAATAAATAAATAAAATATTTAAAAAAAAAAAAACAAATGGGGCAATGTGCTTGCAGCAATGTCTAGCACTTAGTAAGCTTCAAATGAATGTTAGCTATTTTTATTGTGTAACTTTTATCTTCGATGAGCCTTATCTTTATAAGGATGATTATAAACCTGAGAGGATTTGATGTTGTAGTCGCTTGTAAGGCTGTCATAACAAAGACAGTGTTTTATTCAAGTGAAAGATCTCAGCATGGTAAGGCAATCAAACTATTTGAAAATGATTCTTACCTTTCTCCAAGTTTAATTCATCATCTTGTCTGGCTTGAAAAGAATATAAAGCCTTGCAAAGACCACTGCCAATCTGGACCACACCGGAGGCTGAAAGTTGGATCCAGTTATAATTACTAATGCTGCATCAGTAGGCAAGATGAACATGATGGGAAGCTCTTGAGTTATTTAACAATGTGGTGCCCAGCCTAAATATACTGACATCTTCTCAAGAGGAAAATTTATAATTTCATGTAATATTCATTCGTTGGTGTAGGAACCATTTGTGACATACTACTATGTGTAAGGACCATGTATATTATATAATCAAAAACTATATGATAATGTGGAAAATAATAAGTCTGGAGAAAAAAATAATAAAGATGATAATTTAAAACTGTTTCCCACATGAACTTCTTTATCAACATCAGTTAGCTAATATATGTGGTAGTTGATGCATGTTTTGGAAAACGCACACCAGTTTTGCCATTCAGGTATAGTTAGGGGCCACTTAGAACCCATGCTTGTTTCCATCAGCCTACGGTTCTGATGGAACTGTTTCTTAAACAATGTGATGATGATTATTTCCTACACCATGTGGACCATTATGTCCCATCCTGTGTTTTCTGGAAATTCTTTTTGCCAATTTCTCATCAAGAAACTCAAGAATGAAGGTTAATGAAACTATAGTTAAGCAAGGGACAATGACATGTGTGTGTGTGTGTGTGTGTGTGTGTGTGTGTTGAAAGGTGGGTGTAGGTTGGCAAATGGCTAAGATCAGGGGGCTGAATAAAAAGAGTAGATATGTCTTAGGATCACCATGTTTCTCGCAGAAAGGACAGGATTTCCATGGAAGTTTGGAAGGGGCTGTGGAGATAGAGCTTCTCACCATGGTTCAGAGGTGAATGTACAGACAACAAAATGCAGACTGTCTGAATAACATGGATGCCAGTCACTAAGGGACCTTCCCATATCATACATTTTTCCCCCAACCCTCTGCTTTTTGACTCCTTCCCACATTTTGGAATCCATCTGCACAGAAAGCTACAAATGCTAACAAATTAATCATTCCTAACTGAAATGCAAATTTCTTTGAGCTGATATATGCCCATGTGACTGTGAAAATAAAATGTAAATGTTACAATGTGCTTTACCCATAGAACCCAGCCCCGTCATTGTGGGTATGGGATTACCTGTCGATGAAGAACTTGGGAGTCTCTGCCCCCCAAAAGATATTTTGCTCACAACGTTCTCTAATCTCTTCATCAGAAAAGGCCGGGATATTTTTACATAACTATGTGTCTGTTGCTGTTTAAATAGTTAAAAAAAAAAAAAGTCATTTTAACAGTCCCATCATCCAAAGTATTTGCGAGAAGTAACTCTTCTGCAACTGTTTTCCTCAGGAATTTGTTTTTTAATTTTTGGGAGGAGAGTCTATCTAAACTCTACTATAAATCTTTCTTGTTTCTGAAGCCATAATCTTTTCAGAATTAGACAATTACCGTATTTTATAGCCTGTGTTTGCAATCCTGACCTACAACTCAAGGTCAAATAATAACATTCATAGCTCTACTTCCTCAAATTCAACTTTAATTGGCTTTCATGCAAGTGAAATTGCTATGACCGTCTAAGTGATTGAGACAGTTTTAGAGTTGAGTCTCATGGAAAGAAAACCATCCCTTTATCACAAGATGGTGACAGCTCCCTCTTCTGACAGGAAACGGAGAACAGCTGCAAGCAGGAGCTACCCCTGTGTATTCACGTGCTCATCATCAGTTCCTCTAGAGTATCACCGGCAAAAATACACAGGGGTGAATTTTTTAAATTGTACTCACGCTTTACCCATCTCGTGTACTATGTTAAGTGGATGGGACTGCTTCATATCACAAAATCTTAGAATTTAGGTCTGTATGAAATTTTACTTTACAAGCATATTCAAAGAATAAAGGTATGAGGAGGAAGAAGGAATGCAACGTGTTATGAGCTCCTCATATTTAGTCTACCAAGAATGTATTCATTTGTGATTAGCTCTTGTTACTGCACTCGAAAGGAATACAAGTAAGTTTATCTTAAAATTCCACGGTTGGGATTTGGATATATGGCACATATGGTTCAGAATAGCTTTTTTTTTTTTTTTTTTTTTTTTTTTTTGCCATGGTACTACTTGAAGCCACTCCATACAACAAGCCCAGTCAAGAAACTACAAACAATCTTAAATTTTTACCTTTTCTTTCCACCTGAAGATGGAGTTACTACAGGGATGGCTGGGCTGAGGTCTTTGCTCAAGTTCTGCTAACACCGATGCCAGTTTGTAGGAGTTTGCTTGCAAAAGATCTAGTTTCAAATTGGTCTGTGGATACATCATTTGGCCATGTGAGTAAATTTCAAGAAAATGAAGCACAACTGGGCAGGTAAAGGGATATCAGGATAACTTCCAAGGTGACAAAGAGGTCTAGAAAGGTACACATTCAACTCATGCAGACATGAGCAGAAAATGCTAAAGAGAACAAAAAGTGGAGTCTTCAAGCAGCTTAAAGGGAAGCCTTAGTTGTGGAGTGCCCCTTATTCTGCACTCTTCTAAACACAAACTGGAAACCTAGAGATCAGTGTTCTGTGGCAACAAACAGCATTTCTCAATTTTCTGTTGAGGAGTGAGAAAGGGAATAGTTAAGTGTTGATTATAGAAGGCAGGCTTTTGAGGGCTTCGAAGAGAGGCAGTTGAACATAGTGCCCAGCACTGTGAACATAACCAAACTGGTACTAAATAGGATCAAACTAAAATGGTGTGAGGTGGGCTTTGTTGCTGTTGCTGCTGATGTCACTGTTTTTCTTAAAAAGGTGAGGTCTTACATTACCCAAAATGTTTGTAGTTAACACTTCTGCAAACTGGAAACAATATTCTGAGGTATTTGGGTGTAAAAATAAATGAAGCTAAAGATACACTCCTAGTTCTCAATTTGACCTCCTGTTCCCCATTTGATCTTGTGCTAGAAACTTCATAATAGCTTCTTTTTCAAGCTGTGTTCAGTCCGGGTAAATCAAATAATGGAATCTAACCAATGGAAGGGATCTACTTATCCCATCTCTTCCTCACCATTATTTCTTCCTTTTCCACACCTCCAGCATGGGAGGGCCTAACCTAACAGCCCTGCTGAGGGCCACAACCATAGACTGAACATCTCTGATCAATGGGGAATGATCCACTGCATCATGGGGCGGGCTTACCTAAGATGATGAAATCAAAGCCCACCGTAGACCCTCTACCATTAGACCTGGTCTGCACTGGAGGCCATCATGGGGCAAGTCTCCTTCTCGTCTATGTGGTACGCTCCTTCCCATATCTGAAGACAGTGTCTACTCTAGATACATGCCATTTCTGCAAAAATTTCTCACAGAACATGCCTTACCAACATTCTTGCTTTAAATATGGCACTTGAAGGACCAAGAGACAATGAATTAGGAAGAATTTCAAGGAAACAGAGTTTCCTCCTGCAAGAAACCTTCCCTGGGTAACACAAAGTCTACCCGTAGTTGCCCTCCACCAGATGCAGGGTGTGTAATAACTGAGTTACATGCGTGTTTGGCATCCACTACTTGAATGTTCATGTTGGCTCCAATCACAAACACCATGAGTTCAGGGGTCAGACCCTCTCCGACCTTGCACCCTCTGCTGTGTGAATCAGGCCAGAGTGTTCCCAGATGATCCCAAGACGTGTTCTATGCTGGTAATGACAAAATGCTATGCCAGAACCACCAAAGAAATCAACTTAGAACCTGACACCATCATAAAATGCTCCATATATGACTTTATTTTGGTAAATATTATTTGCATAGACCATGTAAACCAAACATTTCACACCGTCACAGAAAATGTCCGACTGCCCTCTAATTTCATACGAACTGCCGCCATGTTGTTAGGCCTCTGTTCCCAAGTGAACAGAATTCAGGCCTTTCTTTTCACGAAGATTGTTAGGTTTGTTTTTACAACAGCTCCCTCACTAAAGGAGGCCTTTGCTGAAAAATAGATTAAACTGTACCTGGCTATACCGGCCTCCTTTCCTCCAAAGAACTAGTGGAATTGACTGTTTGGACACAACTATTAGGTACCTGCTCTCGCAAGAGAATTGGTTAGGCTACAGTCAAGGTATGAACAGCTGGCCCAGCTTCCCGTGTCCTTTAAAACATGGCTAAAGATTTTTTGTCTCTTCCTGAATTCTTCTCGGGTGAATCCCAGTCAACTTCCCCCTCTCTCTAATCACAGCAGAAGACCTATAGCTAGCCATACGCAGCACCTGTTTGTTTTTGTTCCTATATAAAATCCACAGGCCTTTGCTGACCTTTCACGGTGGCTTCCTCTGGAGCATTGTCCACTGCTCCCCCCCCCCAGGGGGGGCTGCTGTGGTCCAGGCGCTCAGCAAACAGGCCCAGAGTTGCCTCTCCCTGCCCTCTCCTGACAGTACCTCCCCTCCCCTCAAAACCACCCCAGCCTCTAAATTTTTTCCCCCTTTTCTCAAGTTTTTGTCGCACACCCCAGACTACCTTCTTCCTCCTGTGTGGCCATAGTTTTCTTTTGTCCTGTTACTTTCAGAGGCTCCTAAAAGCGGGGGGATAAATGAACAATGGACTCTTAATAGTTAGCAGGATTTCAGCTCTCCTCTGTGCATGGCGCTGGCACTTTCTAACTCACACTGTATCCTCACAACAACCCTTGGAGGTAGGTACCGAGAAAACTAAAGTTGTCCCAAGTCCCTGTAAATGGCAGGGTGAGATCCAAATACCAGCCTTCCCGAATGCAGGCCCTGTGCTTTTGATCACTTTTTTTAACCGGGTTAAAGTACACAGGGTTTCCAGACCTGAATGGAATTATTCTATTTTGGGGAATTCTATTTCAGGCACAATTGGTTTCCTGGAAGGAGGCTAAAGCAAACATTTCCAAGTACAATTTTTCCAGATCCCTCAAACTGCTTGTCAAGGAGGCGACTATAGAAGCTCTGACCAGATTGTTCTGTATCATGAGAAAAGAAAAGCAAGCAGAGGTCAAATGGGCCCAGAAAACAAGCATTCTAAAAATAACTCTTTCATCATTAAATCTAGGAAAGCGGACTCTGCAAATATTTACCTCGTCCATCAAGGCTGCTGTGATTTTTTGGCTCTCTGCATCTGGGAAGGTGGAGTCCTTGGAGTAGGATTTCAGCATCCGTTCCAGGCCTGACAATGAAATCATCCTCTCAGTCACCGCTGTCCATCCTGTCCTGGAGGGACACAGCTGAGAGGGGGCACGTGCTGGGGGAGCCCGAGCCCAGAAGGGACACCGAGAGGATACCCCAATGGCTGACGCTCTTTCTCCTTGTAATTGTTACTGACTTTTACTGAAGGGGTGGCCTGTACCTTCGTTTAATGAAAGTTGAGAAATTCTGGTGCTTATAAAATCTTGATTCCCATTTTTCAAGATGAGCTTTCGAATCCTCCTTATGGACCCAGTCCACGGTCGATTCCCCAAACCATCACAGTGTTAGACTCTCCCTCACTACAGAATTTAGGTTTCTAAACATTTCACTCTCTTGGGTTTCCTATAAGGGATTACATTTTAATGCTTTGTTCCAGTCCATGTAAAATAAGCTCTACATATCAGAATCACAAGCACCGGGTTGTTTTTATTTTCCGTATGACTCCAGATCTGCTTCCCATTCTGACATCCCTAACTCATTTAGAAGGATGGCTTCAAAAGGAGCAAACAAGAAAACCAAAGGCTGTGTGCAAAGGAGGTTTACCATATTTTAAGCCAAATGAGCTGTCCCTCATTCCAGCCAATTTCAGATACACGGCAAAATGCTATTATTTCTGGAAATGGAGACATAGTGCTTGCATAGCTCTCTCAAATGGACCGAAATGTCATTTTCAATCTGTTTGCACTCCCCTTTCTCCTTTCTCCTTTTTCTTTATTCACACAAATTAGGTTTGATATATGAGTCTTTAAATTAAGTGATCCCAGCCCCAGTTAGCAAAAATGGAATCACCCGAACTCTGAATGAAACCTCTAAGTAGAATACTTTCCCTTATCAGGCCATTCATAGATATAATTACACACCTTCCCGGTCTCTTAAGGCTTTTTCGATATCTTTTTGCAGTCTCAACAGTTTTGATTTCAGTGAAGACTCTTGTCGCTCTTTATTCATTGCATTGTTGCGATCTTCTTCCTTGAGGAGAAAAAAAATTATGCTTAACAATTTAAGGAGAAAAAGTAAGGTTTGCTATTCCTAGTTGCACTGAGTTTTCACTGACAGCTGTTTTAGTAGTAACTTGAGAGAAGAAAAAAAGTAAAGTCAGGAAAACCTTCGGTTTTATACAGATGGCTCTATCTGTTCCAGACCCGCTTAATAGGAAAACATCTTGTCCATAACTTGTAAGTACCCAGCTGAGCACTTTCTTTAGTAGAACACATCCTTGTTGGAGAAAGTCTTATTATAGTTATTTCATAGTTTCTTGATAAGTAAATCTATTGGTTGGATACTTTATGGTTTTATCTTGATTCAAGTTAGAGTTCTTTAATTTTTTTAAGATTTTATTTAATAATTCATAAGAGACATGCAAAGAGAGACAGAGACCTAGGCAGAGGGAGAAGCAGGCTCCCTGCAGTAAGCCTGATATGGGATTCGATCCCAGGACCCCAGGATCACACCCTGAACTGAAGGCAGATGCTCAACCATGGAGCCACCCAGGTGCCTCTAGTCAGAGTTCTTTAAAGGTCCAGATGTGGCCTCTTGTGTTTGTCTGGAACTAGGAGTGGAACAAATAAATGTTCACCGTGTTCTGTTCTGGATTAGCTGGCCATTGAGGACACATGAGCTCTTCCCAGAACGCATCTGTAAGTTAGTCAGGCCTTGAGCATAACATTCAGACTCCGAGCCGTTCAAGGCCGCGTTCATTCGTGACTGGCACAGACAGGAGTGCCTGATTCAGCCGGGACCAGGACATGAAGGTTTCCAGGGGGCTGGGAGACCGAACCAGAATTTTTCGGTCAGGGGTAAGGAGGGCAGAGGGTTCACTGAGTAGGAGAAGTGGTGCAGCAAAGGGCAGAGGGAGGACTGCAGGATAGGTACCGGGAAAAATAAAGGCCAGTTGCTTGAACAATCACGGTGGAAGGAAAAGTCATCTTAGTAGGTTAGGCCAGATTTTCAGGCTGAAGTAGGGATCTTATATGAAATATGAGAAACTGTTAACAATATCCGAACTTTCACATACATAATTTCAAAGGTCGAATGAAAAAAAATGAGGATGTCAGGGCTGGGTGGGGAGGTGACTGAATGTGAGTGTAGTAGACAGACAAGGAGCCCCTGGAGAAAGAGGGGACACTGACGACCGAAGACAGAAGTAGAGGAGTCAGGACTCTGCTGATACAGAAGGAGAAAAACTAGGATCCTGAAAGCTGGGGGAGAGATTAACTTTAGATCCACCGCCCTGAAGAAGGGGAAGCGTAAGGAATTAGGGCAGAGCCAATAGCCTTTATAGGAATAATTAAGGTATAGATTAAAATATTTTATTTACACATTGCGAATTACATATTATAAAAGTTGACATCTTAGAGCACCTGGGTGGCTCAGGGGTTGAATGTCGGCCTTCGGCTCAGGGATCAGGGTATGATCCCGGGTTCCTGGGATCAAGTCCCACAGGGAGCCTGCTTCTCCCTCTGCCTGTGTCTCTGCTTCTCTCTGTGTCTCATGAAAAGATAAATAAAATCTTTTAAAAAATAAAATAAAAGTCAGTATCTTTATTACATGTGATTCTTACAACAACTCTAGGATATTGGTTTTATTTTCCCCATTTTCACTGTGACACCCCGAAAAATACGTGAAGACCCAAATGAACCAGTTTGAAACCCAGGTCCTCTGAATCCCAGGTCTCTTCCCAATCTGCTCCTGCACAGGCCCGGGCCCCTGGGGGCCGGCAGCCCCCACACCAGCCCCGGCTGACCTGCAGGCTGCCTGACTCCAGCCCTCAGGCCCTCCTTGCTGGAGAAATGCCCATCATAATCCGGCTCTGGCTCCGTGCCAGGCCCAGATTGCATCTGGGTTGTTTGGGGACACCTATTGTTTACAGATGTATTTCCAGAAGGGCATCACTACTGGCACAACTCTATATTGCTATCCTGTAAGTTTCTTAAATTCCTTCTTCTCTTCCAAAGATTTTCAAAAGATCAGTAGTGAAGGTGGCATATGAAACTGCAGATACAATCTCCTTTACGGTAACGTCACAAGTATTTTCACACTGGCCACCAGCCCCTCGGTATCTGCACTCAGATTGTTCTTCTGTTTTACCCTCATCCATGTACATTTCTTGGCAACCAGATGTAAACCAGTCTACACTTATTGCCAATGTCTACAAAGTCAGATTTGGGGCGTGTTTTGCTTTGAGGATATTAAGGAAATTCCATTTACCCATTTGGAGATACAGTCCATTCTTTCAGACAACAGATACACAGTCATCAGCTCCAGAGCACCGATGTTCCACAGAAACCAAAAACTCCCATGGGCATGTCAATTCAAGATAAACTGTCATGGTTGCCTCCTTACATTTCACTAGAAGCCTAGTCAAATTTTCAAGGAGAATGATCCCTATTTTACTGACAGGTTAGTCAATAGGGGCACTTTCATAAAAAAGTAACAAACAAATTTTATTGGACATTTTTCCCATCTCAGGGGTCACCTACACTATTTGGAAGGGGGGGGGAGAAGAGCACTTTCCCTGTGTAATCAAATCTTCTTTTCCACTCCCATTGCTACCTTGCTTCTACTTCAAACACACATTGCTAATTGCTAATTAGCTTCACATTTGCCAGAGGAGGAAAAAAGTTTTTTTTTTTTAAAGAATTAGGCCTTTTTTAAGATGTTATTTATTTATTCATGAGAGACACAGAGACAAGCAGAGACACAGGCAGAGGGAGAAGCAGGGTTCATGCGAGGAGTCTGATGAGAGACTCAGTCCCAGGACCCTGGGATCACACCCTGAGCTGAAGGCAGATGCTCAACCACGGAGCCACCCAGTGCCCCAGAAAAAAAGATTTAATTAAAGAACTAGGTGGCCACTTACTGCTGTTTGGAGGGTGGGGAAGGGAGAGCTGGGCAGGAGCCACTGCTGTGTCTAATCTAACTGCCTTTCCTCCTTCTCCTTCATCTCTTGTTCCTTGAGCAGGACCCCTGGGATGTTGACTTCAGCTACACTTTTAAGCCTATAGGAGGCCGTGACCAATAGGCTAGTTCTCTGGACTGGGGGGAGAAGGGGGAATGAACCCTCCCAATCTGGACCTCCAAAGTCTGGATGAAATACAGCAGAGGAATCCTTCCTGCAGATTGTGGTAATTAATGAGCAGCTCCTAGAACACTACAATTAAGACTAACAAGAGGGGAGCAGAGGACAAAAATCTTTGAGGCGTGGCCCAAGAAGACAAAGAATTTCCCCCAGATGTCAAAGAAGTGAGATGCCTGGGTTGTGACCAGGAACACTGACTGGTTTTTAGCATGTTCCATATAATAGTAGAATCACCCAAATGCCTTGAAAATAAGCTTCTGTAAGAGGGTGTGAGGTTTTCAAAGGCGAGGATCATGAAGAACATTGATAATGATTCCCACCTTCAAGGAGTCTTCCTTTCGTTTGATCCCCTCTACTTACACTTACTGACTTGTACTCACACTATAGGGCTGCACTTATCGACTGGGTTCTAACAAATAGAATACGAAGAGATGTCACTTCTGAGGTCAGTTCGAAAGACTACAGTTCCATCTTGGACACTCTAGCTCCGTCTCTTTTGATCACTAGTTTCTGGGGGAAGCAGGCTGGCCTATTGTGGACCCCCTGCGGAGGAAGAGCCCTGCATGGCAAGGAGCTAGTATCTGCAGGCAGCGTTTCAGCAGGGACCGGAGGCCTGCCATCAGCCACATGAATGAGTTCCGAAGCAGGCTGTCTCCCAGGAGAGTCCTGACACATCCGCACTCCTGGCTGACACCTCGATGGCAGCCTTGTGAGGGACTCAGAGGCACCCAGGGAAGCCACACCTGGAATCCTGACCCACAGACACTATGAGATAGTAAGTGCTTGTTTTAACCTGTTAAGTTTGGGTATAATTGTTATGCAGCAATAGACAACCAAGAGGATGCACAGTGATTACTTATAGGTCTGGCATTGCTCTAGAAGACCGAGCATAACGTTTCAGTCTAGAAACCCTTTGGACTTTCTTCCCTTCTAGAGAACACCAGAGACATATTTCTATTGCCTAGTTTGTAAACCACATGCTGTTTTTTTTTATTTATACAGACTATGAAAAAAATCTATTTTCATTACAAAACAAGATATCTCCTTTACAATTGCTCTCAATTTTCTTCCAAATGCATCCCTCAGAATATTACTATGGTTCCCCATCAGTGGAATTTTCTTCTACCCCATACTTACAAAGTAATCTGTTAATAGGAACTCAGATTTATTTTCTGTGGACGAAACTGCAGTTTCTTCCATGAGAGCCTGGATATCTTTTTCAACATCTATCTTGCTGATGGCACAGTGAATCTGCGTGTGGCACTGCAATGCCAAGAAAGCATAACAAGGTTGCTGGAGAATGTTTCCTGTGAGTTCTTACCATGCTTATCAGAAATAGAGAAATCTGTACTACTCACTGTGGTCAGGGTTTGGCCAAAAACAGAAATATGTTGAGTGTACTGGTTTAAGTTATTGTACAAAAGTTTAATTCTTTCCTTCTCCAGCTCCAGGATGCTCTGAAAAGGTCGGAAAAACCACATAAGATTTGCCAGTTGTGGAAAACTAAAGTCACCCACTGACATGCCCCAAGTCTGAGTGAAGTGTCATGTTAGTGCCTTTTGATTATGTCATACCAAAGATGTCCAGGACAGGAATGTGATTTGGTATGTGTCATGTTTGTCTTTATTTAGGGTTGGTCTAACTCACAAAATTTCCCCAGGCTGTTTTGTCCCAAAAGACATATAGGCTGATGTTATGTGTTACCTGGCTTTCACAAAGAAAGGGGAGGAAAGAAATCATTTGAAAAGCTCCTCTGGGTTCTAGGGAAGGAGCACAATGCCCAGTAAAAGCCATGTCTACGTCTTGGAAATGCATTCAGATCCTAAATATTTTTAGAATTGTTTGTGGTACATACAAAGCATTCTGCTAGTCTCTGCCAGGGAAAGATGATGAACTGCAAAATCTCTGCTTAAGGAAACTATTTGACAAGAGGAGAACCCCAGTCTCATCAACTCATAATCCTGGCCTAAAATTAGGCCTGGGGGGTCAAAGACCACTGCATGAAGGTGGGAACATAACCTCTCCACTTGGTGTGAAATGATTAAAATTCCACTCTCAGAGTTTCACAACTTGTACCTAGGAAGGGTAAGTAAGAAAGTGAGGGATGTCACATTTCCCTTGTTAGTCATTGACATTTTAGAAAAAGTTAGTTATTAGACTTCGCCACTCTTTGCTGGCTGAGCTGCTGACTGGTTATTTTGAGGGTGTGCGGGGAAATTCAGCAGCTAAGCGGTGTGTGAAGGATTGGGCCAAGGGGCATTCCTAGGCCAAGTAGGGGTGGTGGGAGGCTGCTGGGTATGTGATCAGAGGACTTCGGGCTTTAACAGAGATGGCAGGTATCCAAGGCAACATGCTTTTCATCCCATTTTTGTAAGGACGAGGCCCGGGCATTCCTCCTTCATCCAGGCTGGTTGCTCTCATCATGCCTGCCATCCCACCCAATTCCATGCCACACAATAAAGAGGACTCAGCTATACTTTTTCATGAAGAAGGCTTTGGGGAAATTGGTGGGTAGCATTACCATAGGAAGTAAGAAGACTGACTACATATCAAGGCCTTTGATAGGGTGGGGGCGGTGGGGGCAGAGTCACAATGATCATTGGGTTCTCCCATCTGCCTCTCTAGTACATCTGCAGGGCCTACTGGCCCGATACAGCATGGTGGCACTTTATATCTCTGTGGTAGACTGTATTCATATTCAGTTGTTATTTTATCAATGGCATATAGTCACTTTAAACTTTTTTTTGGATATATTTTACTTAAATTAAATTAATTAACATATACTGATTATTGGTTTCAGAGGTAGAGGTCAGTGATTCACCGGTCTCGTAGAAGACTCAGTGCTCATTATATCACGTGCCCTCCTTAATGCCCATCACCCAGTTACCCCCATTGCCCCACTCCTCCTCTCCAGGGGGCCTCAGTTTGTTTCATATGATTAAGGACTCTTAATGGTTTGTCTCCCTCTCTGATTTTGTCTTGTTTTATTTTTTCCTCTCTTCCCCTATGATCCTGTTTTGTTTCCTAAATTCCATATATGAGTGAGATCATACGATAACTACCTTTCACTGATTGACTTATTTCACTTAGCATAATATCATCTCGCCCATCCATGTTGTTGCAAATGGCAAGATTTCATTTTTTTGATGGCTGAGTAGTAGCCCATTGTATATATTTACCACATCTTTATCCATTCATCTGTTGATGCACATCTGGGCTCTTTCCATAGTTTGGCTGTTGTGGACATTGCTGTTAATAAACATTGGGTGCAGATGCCCCTTCGGATCAATACATTTTTATCTTTGGGGTAAATACCCAGTAGTGCAATTGCTGGGTTGTAGGGTAGCTCTATTTTCAACTTTTTGAGGAATCTCCATACTGTTTTCCACAGTGGCTGCACCAGCTTGCATTCTCACCAACCCTGTAAGAGGGGTCCCCTTTCTCTGCATCCTCTCCAACATCTGTCATTTCCGGACTTGTTAATTTTAGCCATTCTGACTGGTGTGAGGTGGTATCTCATTGTAGTTTTGATTTGTACTTCCTTGATGTTGAGCACTTTTTTCATGTGTCAGTTGGCCATTTGTATGTCTTCTTGGGAGAAATGTTTATTCATGTCCCCTGCCCATTTCTTGACAGGATTATTTATTCTTTGGGTGTTGAGTTTGAAAAGTGCTTTATAGGGATCCCTGGGTGGCGCAGCGGTTTGGCGCCTGCCTTTGGCCCAGGGCGCGATCCTGGAGACCCGGGATCGAATCCCACGTCGGGCTCCCGGTGCATGGAGCCTGCTTCTCCCTCTGCCTGTGTCTCTGCCTCTCACTCTCTCTCTCTCTCTGTGTGACTATCATAAATAAATAAAAATTAAAAAAAAAAAAAAAAGAAAAGTGCTTTATAGATTTTGGATACTAGTTCTTTATCTGATGTGTCATTTGCAAATATCTTCTACCATTCTGTCAGTTGTCTTTTGATTTTGTCAAGAGTTTCCTTTGCTGTGCAAAAGCTTTTTATCTTGAGGAAGTCCCAATAGTTCATTTTTGCCTTTTAAAATTTTATTTATATTTTTTAGTTGTGGTAAAACTTGCATAACATAGAATTTACCATTTTAACTATTTTTAAATGTATACGTCAGTGTCATTAAGTACATTCACACTGTTGTGCAACCTTAATTATCATCCATCTCCAGAACTTTCTTCATCTTGCAAAATGGAAACTCTGTACACATTAAACCAAATTCCCCTAGGCCCCTTGGTAACCTCCATTCTACTTTATGTCTTCTATGAACTTGACTACCCTAGGCGTCTCATACAAGAAGAATCGTAGAATATTTGTCCACTGCTAATTTCACCTAGCATAATGTCTTCCAGGTTCATCCATGATGTAGCATATGTCAGAATGTCCTTCCTTTTTAAGGCTGAATAATATTTAACTCTACGCATATACTGCATTTTGTTTATTGGTCTACACTCATTTTAACACTGCTATTAAATGAAAGCAGTAAAAGGCTCAGGCAGTAACTATGAACATCTATGTCAATCACACGCAAATTTTAATTCTATGCCAAGTGTCCTGACACTCAAAGCAGAAGGTCAGAGCTCTGCTTCCCCATGATCACTTCTGAATTGGGTCAGAAGCTGTTCAACTTTTCTAAGTTGGTGGGAGCTAAAACTTTTGTTTCTCTTCTTGGTCCCTTGAGTCTTCAGTATTGCCAGGCACCAGCCATTGGAAAGTGGTTGTGTGCTCTCACGTAGTGAGTAAAGACATAGAAGAGTGGCCTAGCAAACGTGTTGCTTCTTCAAAGGACAGAGATAGATGCTTCCTAACTAATATATAAAACAAATTCTGCTAAGTTGCTTGACCCTCAACTGGAACCATCTTCAGAAAGAGACTTTACACCTTTGAGAAAGTTCTAGAAAGCAGCTGTTCTAGTTTAGCACCATGAACAAAGGACAGGAGAAATAAACAAAAGCTGGGTTTTAGGAACACATTGTATCCTAGTGGGCAGCTATGTCCTTATTTTGACAGGAGCTGAGCCACCAGTATCAATCTGCTACTAGAATATCCAGTATCCCTTGGAGGAGATGGTAATGGTTAAGAGATTTTAATTACATTTCAGGGAAATCATTAAAATGATCTATGTTTGCTCATGAAAAGAGGCAGAGATAAATTCCACTGTGCAAAGGGGAAATCTATATCTCATTTAATGAATTATTGCTTTCTATTATCTTGTTCTTTTTGTATAAAATTGGCAGTAGAGAAGCAAAATACTCTGGAGAACATAAAACTGTTCTCTTGTGCCTTTATGATGGCACATATATGAGAGCGTGGTCAGAGTAGGCAGGGAACAGCAGATCTGGAGACTGGTTGGGGCCCAAGGACTGTGATCATTCATACTTTTCATTCACTTTTTTTTTTCTGTCCTGCTGTCCTGTCCTTGGAAGGACTTCATTTTCATCTAAATTGCTTCTATAAAACTGATCAAAGAAATATCATGTTCTTTCTAGAGCAAGAACTCTCAAATTTCAGAATGCTTAGCAATCACCTAGACCCCTTCTGAAAATTATTCAGAGGTTCTGATTCATTCCTTTTAGGGAGGTGCTCAGGAATCAGAATTTTAACAAGCACACTAATTGCTTTGAGACATTGTCCTGGGACTCTAAAGGGCCACAACAAAATTTAATTTGAAAAGTATTTATAATTCTTCCACCCAGAGATAACCCGTTAGCATTTTGATGTATTTCAGTCTATCTAGGTATGTGTGTATGTACTATTTTATTTTTCTAGTTACCTAGCAAATTATTCACATTGGTATCGTTTTTTCACTAAACAGTGTACTAAAGCGGTTTCTCATGTTGTTCATCTCCAGAAACATCATTTAAAATAGTCCACTGTGTGGGATTGCACACAGCACATTTGATTCATTTAGTCATCCCCTAAAGGTTAGCCATTTGAATTGTTTCCTCCCTTTTGCTTTTAATGTATTTTGAATAGAAATTGTTTTTTTTAGCTATTTCCTCAATATATATTTATAGAAAGAAAATTATGTTTTTCACCATGAGTGCTGGGAGAGAGTCAAGCCCTACTGTCCTGGGGAATCCGTTGTATGCCATACATGTCACCGTCTCCCCACTGCACCTAGAGAGGTTCGGTCACCACCACCCCTGGGGGAGCTGTGAAAACATTCACTCATTATTTTCTGTGTTATGTGGTTCAGATGAGGAACACTGTTGAGAAAGTGAATATTTTTAATGCTCTTGACATGTACTGCAAATGCCTCTCTCAAATAATTCCTTGAGTGCTTACTGTCGGAACCAAACACATGGCTCTTGGTAATTCTTAGTAGCAGGGCTATTATTTTTCAAAATATATTATAATTGCTTTCTACCAACTGAATGGTTTGTTCTTGGAAGGGAGGAAATGTGACTTGAGCATAGTATGATTACAAATAGTAAGACTGACATGTGGTGTGTGGAATTGGTTTTATTACTTCATAACGACACTTGAAACTTGACATTTCTCAGTATCTAGTAAACTGCCTTGAACGCAGCTCAATGAATGTTCTCTGAAAGAATTGGTAAATCCAATTTGGAGGGAAGAAGGGGTAAGAGGATGCATTATGGAGTGTTTAAATGAATTCTTATATCCCGTTTTCCACAGAAGAATGGTGGGAGAAGAGAAGGAAAAATGAAACTGAACAACCCTTGTCACATTTCCACATCTCACACTTATAATAAAATCCCCCTCGAATTCAATTCAGCCCACTTTTGTTATGTCTTCATGAATATAATATTCTACTTCTGAGTTTGTAAACAATAGAAGATCTAGAACACACAGTGTAATATGTGAGTCAGTCACTTGGGGCGGGGTGGGGGGGGCAGACTGAGGGTACCCAAGCCAAGGGAATACGAAGTAAGGAATCGGTCTTGGTTAGGGCGAGGCGAGGATGTCTTGGCAGAAGTAGTCTCAAGTGGGTCTACAGGGCTGGGCTTGTGCTTGGGAGGCAGAAGGCAGCTCTGAGGGAGCCACAATGAGAGAAAGTACGAGAACGGAGAATGGAAAGGGAGAGGGGCTGGCATGGCCTCTGGCACGGTGCCAACAACAAACCAGGGCAAGAAGGGTGAAAGGAAATTTTTCTTTTCTTTAAGGAGATTATGATTTTTAGTAGATTCTCCATTTGACTTCAATTCTAATAAAAAAAAAACAAAACAAAAAAAAAAAAACAAACCCTAGGCTTTTAAATATTTTTTAAGCTAGTTGAAAGAGATTAAAAAAAAAAACTTCAAGTAAAATTAACATACAGTGCTATACTAGTATCAAGTATACAAGATTATGATTCAACATTTCTATATATTACTCGGTGCACATCACGACCAGTGTCCTCTTAATCCCCTTTGTCTGTTTTCCCCATCCCCCACTCACCTCCCTTGGGGCAACTGCCAATTTGTCTCTGTGGTTAAGAATCTCTGTTTTTATTTGTCTGCAGAGACATCTTTTGAAATACAGATAAATATATATCTTGTCACCATCAGGGAGACTTTATAAACAAAAAAGAAAACTTCCAGGATGTTTTAATATAAAACTTGGGGCTGCTGGAGGGGTGGGTTGGGAGGAAAAGTGTAGGAGGACCCTACCAGGAAAAAAGAAAACAGGAAAAGGAGAGACAGGGGATCCCTGGGTGGCGCAGCGGTTTGGAGCCTGCCTTTGGCCCAGGGCGCGATCCTGGAGACCCGGGATCGAATCCCACATCGGGCTCCCGGTGCATGGAGCCTGCTTCTCCCTCTGCCTATGTCTCTGCCTCTCTCTCTCTCTCTCTCTCTCTCTCTCTCTCTCTCACTATCATAAATAAATAAAAAAAAAAATTTAAAAAAAAAAAAAAGAAAAGGAGAGACAGACCTAGTAAGCGCCTCTGAGAAGGGAGTTGGTAATAGCGGTACCTGAGCCGTTTTGAAGGTCAGCTGGAGGTCAGCTATGCCAGACATGCTGGCCGCCATACCAGGTAAGAACCATAATGATCCCCCATTGCTATGATGTGGAGGGGGGGGGGGGATGGAGACATGGAGGTTAAGTATTTCTCTCATAGCCCTTGAAGGGCATCTGGAAGATGGCCTGGGAGCAGCAATTTCTCTCCCATAATCTAACAGGGTTTCCAAGGAAGTCAGCCCCTGTGGAAAAGCCACAGGTCCACTGAGAAGTCCCAGGGGGTGAGGCAAGACCAGAGGCCAGGTTGGAGAGCCAGGTTTCAGACGGACAAATGTGGAAATGAAATCCTTGGGCCCGAGCTCCTGGGTGGCTCAGTGTTTGAGCATCTGCCTTTGGATCAGGGCACGATCCCGCGGTCCCGGGATCGAGTCCTGCATCGCACTCCCCGTGGGGCCTGCTTCTCTCTCTGCCTGTGTCTGCCTCTCTCTCTCTCTCTCTCTCTCTGACTCTCACGAATATATAAATAAAATCTTAAAAAAGAAAGAAAGAAAGAAAGAAAGAAAGAAAGAAAGAAAGAAAGAAAGAAAGAAAGAAAGAAATCCTTGGGCTTTTCTCCTCATTTTCATCTAAAACCTACTCAAAATAAGAAAGGAGAGTACCAGGATCCTCTGTTTGAAGGCATTAATTAAAGAAGGGTTTATTCTCATTTCGTTCTCTCCTTGACTAGTTTTCATCTCTTCTTTAATTTCCCCACTCTTCCCTAATTGCATCTATCCTACCTTGAGAGCCAACAGCAGCAGATTAAACATGCTCTTCAATTTCCACTTGCCTAGGTCCTATTAGCGCAGAAGCAGAGAGCGGAGGTCAAACCGGGGCATCAGCCTGCCTAGGCTAATCCTGTTGCCATCCTGGGCAGGATACTTCATGTCTCACTTCCTCACTATAAATTAGGAATAAAATTACGGCCTCATCATGATGTTGTGATGGATACAAAATAGAATGCAGTGAACTGTCCATAAGCAGCACCTGTCTCATTCTCACATTACTGTGCTTATCAAACTGCATCATGATTGCCTCTTTTTGCAATTGTACCTTGCTTTAAACTTTTTTTTTAACTTAAAATGTGGAGGAAAATAAACCAAAACATTCATGTTCCTAGCACCCAGAACTGAAAATTATTTAAGTTGGACATATTTATGTTGACTTAAAAAACAGAGAGCTAAGCTATTCAGATTATGGTAGTTGGAGTAATTTCTGAGCCTGGGTTTGCTTTGTCGTCCATCAGGTTGTCCACACACCGTGTGGCTATATGTGGCAGCTCTGTTGAATTCTCACCATTTCCCTCACGCAACACAGATTCAATCTCTATGTATAAGTTTACAAACACACACATGAAAACTCCCTGTAGTTTGGGATGTGAGTTTTTTAAATAATTTAATTTATATATAGTGTATAAATACCATGCTTCTTTTCTTCAACATCATGTTTTCGAGGTTGATTTGTGTGTATATATAGTCTTAATCAATATTTATTGCTAGATATTGGTCTACTTTTTAAATTAGAGCACATTTAAAGAGTAATTTCTCTATTGATATTGTGTACATGATTGTGTACATTTTTTTCTCATCATGCAATTATAAACAATTCTGCAATAAACATTGTTATACATCACCCTTGGTGATGTATACACGCACATTTCAGTTTTACTAGAGACTCAAGTTATTTTCACCCGAGAAGTGTAAAAATCCTTGATTCCCAGCAATTCTTGTTGGGCAACACGGGATATTGCCACTTTTTAATCTTTGCCGAATGATTGAGCATCTTTTCATATGTTTATTGGTGATTTTGATTTTCCCTTTTGTGATCTGCTTGTTCATACTCTTTAATTTTTATTGGATGATTTGCCACAATTCCTTCTTTATACATCTTCTTTGCTGCTAAACTGTACACCTCCCAAGTCGAGATGGGATCATTGCTCCAGCGGAACTCTGTAAGTGATTACCGTATAAATGAGCTCTCAGGCCTAAAACTCATTTCTGAGTATCGAATACTCAAGCCTTAATTTACACTTCACTTGGACAGCACTTTTGGAAGTTAGCTGAGTGCTATTGTGTCCATTGAGGATTAGAATCTGACCAATGATATTCAGTAAATATTCACTGGTTACTGGATCCACAGAGCAATGGAAACAATTGGAAGTTACGTGGTCTCTCCAAAGTCACAGTAGGAGTGAGGGTCATCACCAAGGACAGAGATCATCAAGTCATGTAATTGTAGACCTGAACATCATTTTCAAGGCGTCACAAAGCTCCACAGAAGAAGAGAAAATTGCCAGCAAATGACTCACCTGGTAGCAGTTTTCCAGGGTATTTTCCCACTTCAGTCTGGCAGCACAGCCAGCTAGGTTTTTTTGGTAGTAGCTTTCATCTTCTTTTGCCAATTTCTCTGTCGATTTTTTCAGTTTGCTGAGGAGCTGAAGGAAAATGTCATTGTTACATACTCATTAACACATTTGTCAAAGCCCTTGGTGATCCCAGGTAAAGGACTGCATACATCCCAGTGATATGGTTCCCATCTCCCAGCTCAAGTCAGCAGCAGTAACTATAGATGACAAAATCAAAAATCTTTCTCAGAGAAAAGGCGTATTAGAGCTGAAAGTAGACCTACAGGTCTGTCAGTATGATTCCTTCCATTGTTCACATGAGGAAACTGAGGTCCTTAAGTGGGATGTGATGTGCCCACGTTTATCAAATCAAGGAGGGGGCCAAAAGACTGGGGAGGGAAAGCAAGCCCAGATTGGGAAACTCCAGCTCAAGATTGTAACCCACTAATGATTCCTGTACTCTTTTTTGGTAAATCCTCTGTGTCCCAGCATCTCTTACCAGGACAGGAAGAGATTGCAAAAGTGCATAATTTTACAACTGGCTCACTCACTGGTGAAAGACCTGAGGCACAGGCCAATGTTCACTACAAGCTGTGGACTGCCCGACAGCTGCTTTCCCCTCATCCTGTTCCCCAGTGATCTGCTCCTTCATGAAGAACCCCCTCTTGCCAGCCTCCAAAAGTGGCCATTCTGATTATGAAGCCCAATTATGAAGCCCTCCAGAAAAATCAAAGTGATAATAAAACTCTCTGTACCGGGGTAGCTAAAACTGATTCTCAGAATGCTCAGACAAGTAATTTCACATCTTTGAGAACAAAGTTGTTGTACATGAATGATTCTCAAACTTGAATATGTTAAGGAAGGATGTGGGTGCTTATAAAATTGCAGATTTTCAGGGTCCCACAAGTAGCAATACTGATCTAGTAGTTCTATAATGGGATAAGGAATTTTGAATTTCAGTAGCTCTTTAGGTGATTCTGATGCAAATAGATTTCAAAGCACAGTTCAAGGAGCACCAAAGATCCCTCTGACTTAAGCAGTTTAGGAGTTTCAAGGACAGAGACAAAGGCTTTTAAAAATGACCTTCTTTATGCTTACGGACATTTTGACTAATGTTTTAGTAATGAAGGATGGTCATCCAAAATGGTGAATATTAACACCACTTACTTTATTATTCCAATTGATATGCTAGCTGTTCAACTGTCCGTTGGCTCTGATGTATGACTTACACAGGACACATCTGGTTTTGTATATCAAGTGTAATGAACCACATTTATCTGTGGAAACATAAGCTTGTGAATTTTAACCTGATAATAATAGAGTGAAAAAGCTGAAAGTGTGCCATGGCTATCCTTTGCTAAATCATCATCCTTAGATTCAGACTTTATTTGAGGTCATCAGGAAGCCTCTATGGCCTTTAAAAAGAGAATCATATGCTCATATTCGAGTTTCAGAAAAGTCAGAGGAGTCCATAGATGGGAAATAGATAGAAGGAGGCAATGCTGAAAGCCAGGAGACCAATCTGCCAAGTACTCCACACGATGGTGATGTGGGTGGGCCTGAAAGAGAGCAGTGGCAAGGGAGAAAAACACAAGCAGCAAAGTTCAAGAAGTATTTGGTTCAGGAGGTGTAACCTCGAGGATATGTTAGATGGTAATATTCAAAGATATAGAAAACACAGGAATAAAAGAATATTTTTGGTAGAGAGAAATGATGGTTCCAATCTTGGATGTTCAGTTAGAGATGCTAAGAGGTTTTAGAGACTTGTTGGGCTGGAGACATAAATTGGGATATTATCAGCCTGGATATGGTAGTGGAGCCTTGAGAGTATATTTATTGAGTACTGGCTATTAGTGAGTACCTGATTTGGAGAATACTGTGTCGGGCCCTGGAAGTACAACAATGAATAAAACAGAATGAGTCCCAGAAGAGAAATAATCAGGAAAAGCAATATATAAAGGTCGGGAAGAAAAAGAGAAGTCCATAAAACATTGCTAGAGAGAAAAACCAAAAGAGTAAGGTGTTGCTGAAATCAAAAGACAAGAATTTTCTAGAAAGAGGAAGTCAATAATCCTTAATGCTTCCAAGAAGTTAAATAAGATAAGGGCTGGAAAGTACACATTGGCTTTAGCAACAAGGACGACATTGTTTTCCAAGCAATAACACTCTTCGTAGAATGGAGGAGGAAGCTTGGTTGGTGTGGATCGAGGAGTGAACAAGGATTTTCAATAAATCTTATTGAGAAAGGAAGGAGAGATGATAAAACCTGGAGAGGAACAGGAATAGGGCCATGGAAAGGTGTCTCCCTGACTCTTCCTACTCTCCCAAGATGGGATGGAGAGGGACATGTGGACTGACGAGAAGTGACTATTAAAGAGACGTATGTCCAAGATACAGGTGAAAGGGAAACAATCAAGGGGAGCATCTCTGAGAGGCAGGATGGGCTGGGAATCCAAGCACACAATAAAGAATTGGCCTGTCCCACTGCACATATGACTTTAGTAGCCAAGTGGCTGAGCCAACTTCTATTTACTCTGTGAGGAAGGAGGCAAGATAGTCAGTCTGCTGAGAGTGGGTGGTGAGGATGGAGGTGTGAGAAGAATGGAGGTCTAGATCGGCTTCTGCTGAGAACAGGAACACAGGAAGGACTGAACAGGGCAGAGCCAGCTCTGTTCAGGTTGGAGATGATGGGCACTTCTTCTTAAAAAAAAAAAAAAAAAAGCTACCAGATAAAGCGATGAAGATGGTAGGGGTTTTGATATAATGACAGTCAAGGTTCCATGGTTACAGGATCAGTCAGAGGAGGGCAGAGGAAGACCATGGGCTTCGACCTCCCAGGGAAGCTGCTAATGAGGGAAGGGAGAGGAAATCCACCATTTAGCCGCCTAGTGCTTTTCTCTTTGTTACTGCTTGACATCAATGAAGAATAGCTTCTAATGAGGGCTCCCAACGGCTGTGACAGGCCCCCAGTGCTCAGCACTGTAGCATACCCTGGTGCCGCCTCCTCAGAAGCTGCCTCATTATTCAATACTTGTTATGATCATTTCAAACTGTGAAGATTGACGTGGAAAGAAATAAGAACGTTGTAAAATGTTGCTAACAATGAACTTAAGTTATTCAACTAATAGTTTGTTCAGACGAAATGGCAGCCTTACTTGCAATGATGATTTTCTTTTTCTCTAAGAATGTCTTGTGATGCTGTAGCCTGCATTTCCTTAGGGGGACTCCAGCTTTGGGGGAAGATACTGACCATTTCAGATGTTTCCAATTTGGAGCACACACCACAATAGGCGGTCAAGGTAATCTATCGTATCTCCAACATTATTTGTGGTCCTTTTTGCCTAAACACAAGCTTACTCTTACTTGACATATGAGTCTACACTGGTGCCCACTCATGGACAATTGTGTGCTTCTTTCGCCGGGGGGGGCGGGGGGTGGATGTGAGTTTTACAACCTAAGGAACTGACATGGGCTCTCACAAATGTCTTCACTTTCGGTATCCTGGGACATGTGGCCATCCGCACGTGTCTGGGGTGTGGGGATTTACAGATTTATTATCTAGCTTTAATCAGGTCACACACACACAATTAACAAATATCTTAAAAAGATTTCTGCTAAGCTGTACATTGACATGAGTACTGCCAATGAAAGCACAGGAAAGCCACAAGAAACTGTGAGAGCTGATGCCTTCTCCTGCTCCCGGTTATGTGTACATAACAAAAACTGGGATGATCTGGTGAAATCTGAAAAGAAGTTAACCAAAAAAGTTTTAAAATTATCAAAAGGACTATTAGAAATATGAATTTACATTTACTACGGTCAAGGCTGAACCTTGCCCAAGTGCATATTTTGCCTGGAAATGTCACTCAGTGATCATATGAAGGCATCATGATTAGCTAATCGTTTAAAATATTATTTCAAAAAAAATAAATTAAATAAAATATTATTTCATCTTCATCTCATCCTTCAAACACTTTTTTGTGTCTTATAATGTTCATAACATATTAGTATAACAAAGTACTACTACGTACGGTACACGATATTGGTAAAGTACATTATATAATTCATTATATATGTACATATATATTTTACTTACTTGGACTGAGAGTATTTAATAGGGTCCCTGTGGAAACATTTGGACACCCTTGGTCTAATTTATCATCTGTCAATAATACCTTTTAAAAATATATGTGGACCAGGAAGGATTTAGGATCCCTCTCATAACTGCGCCACATGACAGCTCTGCAGAGACCCCACACAGAGCAGCGAATCAGCCAGTTCTCTTGTGTTCATAGCTCAGAGGAGGAAATCCATCTCTAAGCCACATGCATGCAGCCGGCCATGACGGGTTACCTTCTGCTTCTCCTTCTTAGTCACAGTTTGCTTGGAGCTTTCTACAAGATGGGAGAGTGCCTCATGCTTCTTGGTACTAACCATTAATTTTTTTTTGGCCTAGAGTCAAAAACATACAAAAAAGCAAAAAGGGCTCAGAAACAGATATCAAGAGAAAACCTCTTCTGTCCTGGAACAAGTCATGTTCATGTGCTAGCTTAAATGACTGTGTAATTCTAGTAGTTTATTTCTGCCCTGACTTCAAAATCTGCCTGGAACATCACAGTGGCTAACATTTTGCCCTGAAACCACTGTATGTTTTTTCATTATATCGAGTACACTCAAGAGGGTTATACATTTCTCCAAATCACAAAGGCCCACAAGCCTCCAAAACATTGTTCTAGCTAGCATCAGGAAGGGAACGGCTGTACCACAAAAACATCGCGGCAAACATGGAAGACCACCTGCATCATTCTTCTAAATCGGCCTGGGCCACAGTTGAGGTCATTTTAAGATGCTCTCTTGAAACTTAGAGCAAAGAGATGATTTCATTCCTGATACCCAGGCTTCAGGGCTGCATTGGCAGTGGCGGGCAGGCCTGGGGGTTTGTTAGGAAGGAAGAAGCATTCGAAGTCCTCCTACTCCAACCTCAAAGTGGGTTACGACCCAGGTGATCGTTTCCTATCCTAAAGAGTTCCAACTTGGCAGAAGCTGGTGCTCCAGAGATAAAATGAACAAACAGAACTTGGTTTGAGTTGGATCCAGCCTGTTCAGGAACTGGATTGATTGAAAGTGTGTTCAGTTTTGCGCATCAAGGTCATAAGGACTGTAAAACCAGGTAACGAAGGAAAAAGTTCCCTCTCTCTTTAGGAATCAGAAGCAAAGCCTTCCAAATGTCTCTCCCCCACGAAGCTTCTGCAAAAGTGAATTCAAGGGACAAGGAGCTCAGGGACCCTCTTTCTCTGCCTACAGTCACATGGCCACAGAGAAAGGAGAGCATGAGGGAAGCTTTGGGAACTTTAGGGCTGCCATTTCTGTCTCCCAGATAGATCACACTTCATTACTGACATGCTGAAACCCTTCAATTGTAACGGGGGAGAAAATCATTAGAGCTCAAGAATTTTATGTTCTCCAATTTCTCTGTCACTCTTCATAAAAAAATAAAATCATTGTAGTTAGAGAAATTACTTGGTGGCAACTGGGAGGCAATTATAGCTGCCGAGCATGGTTTCTCTCTTTAGGTCCATTATCTTGAATTTCCCGTGAAAGCTGAATATTTGGAGAATGGATTTTTAAAAACAAGTTCTGTTTGGGGCGCTTGGGTGGCTCAGTTAAGCATCTGATGCTTGATCTCAGCTCAGGTCTTGATCTCAGGGTTGTGAGTTCAAGCCCCATGCTGGGCTCCATACTGGGTGTGGAACCAACTCAAAAAATTTTTTTAAAACAAACTCTGTTTAAGAAAACTCATAAAATCAATCAAGAGCAAAACTAAAACTAAATGCCTGGACAGTGATTATGGGACTTTTAAACGTTAATTATAAAAGTGATTCTCGTGAGCATTCTTTTACCAGTATTAATGTTGTGGGTATAGAAATCCATTTATCTCAAACATTTCTTATTAATGTCCTTGGTCTTATGGAATCCTTGATTTCAGCAGGAGCTTCAAAGGCAACAGTAAGGGCTGAATTGGGGGCTGCCTATTTTTGAGTGTCTCTCTGGTTCTTGCCACTAGCAGCTGTCTGCTGGGGAAAGTTCTCTTTAGGCACCGACAGTCTGGAGATGAAAAGGGAGTTCAACTTTTGGAGCACAAGTTCTCTCAAAGGGGGATCAGTGGGTTTTCTTAGCAGAGTCCTTCTCTGCTGGCCTCTAGTTCTTTTAACTTGAATTCCTCCTAAACGGGATTGTTCTAGAATTATCTTCTGTACATATATATGGGTTCCATCTGTTATTCTCTCTGCATAAGAACCTGTAATGATATGCTCTAAATTCTCACACCAGATCATAATTCCTCTCCCTAGAATTCATTTACTGTTTCCTGCCCATATGTTATCTAGCCAACTACATTTTAAATTACTTGAAAATAGGAACCATGTCCTAGTACAGGGTGGAGTATAAGAAGTGGACCATACATATTTGTGGAATCAATATATGTATTCCCCTTTACATTTGGCTACTCACCCTTCACAGTACTCCTCTCGCTAGCAAGACAGAGATCACGAACGCCCTTCTACAAATGATAAATCCAAAACTCAGAGAGCATTTGTCACTTGCTCTAAGTTACAGACTATACAGAGAGGCAGTCAGTGTATTGTAATGGGTAAGAGTAAGGACTCTGGAACCCAACGACTCATAACAATTCTTGGTTCAACAGTTAACCAGCTTTAGGCAAATTACTTATCTCTCAGTGTCTCAGTTTCCCCACCCATCTGTCAAATGCGACATGCCACAATGGGTAGGCTTTTCTTTGGTGGCAGGGGGTGGGTGGTGGTGGTGTGGCGGTTGTTGCAATGGTTGAATATATAAATATATAACATTTGGCACACAATAAATGCTGTCTGTTAGCTATGAATAATAACCATATTTAGAGCCCTGCTGTGCTATCAGTTTAGTTGAAAGATATATCTACATAATAATTCAGGTGAGGAAACATTTTTCTCTGCAGTTAGCACTCAGAAATACTAACACCAAAACACACAATCACATTTGTACAAAAGCAAAAAGATTCAGTCCTAAAAACTGAGTTTACATAAAGGGCATTCATATGTATACTTGCCTTGATTTGTTGATTCCAATTGCCAATGACAAGATTCGCTGCGTTTTCAACTTCGTTATCAAGCTAGGAACAGAAAAAAAAAAGATTTCTTTTGCTGTCTTTCTGTTGAATCACGGTGCTGGCTTGTTTAATTCTGGTACAATCACTATCACAATCCATAGGAATTCCAAAATCCTACAATGGACGTATATCCTGAGAAAAGTAGCCAAACTACCTTTTCCCCATGTCAAAAATCTCTGGACAGGATTTAGCTTGAATGCATTTGGTAAAATAACCCTTTCCATGTAAACCAGGTAACTATATAAAAACTTGTAAAAACAACATCAATGTGCACAACTTGCGTGGAGGGAGTCTTGTGTGGTTTGGGGTCATTTCCAGACCTACCACTTCTTCAGCATCATTCCATGTGGCTCAAACTTGAGCACTGTGACAATCCATATGGTCCACGGTCCTGGCCATGCTAATTCTAAGTCTCTCATTACCCTTGAAGTGAATACTGTTGTAATTGCAGAGATTGAATTCTTAATCATAATTAACTTTTCTCCTGCTTTTTTTTTAAAGATTTATTTATTCATGAGGGACACAGAGAGAGAGGGAGAAGCAGGCTCCTTGCAGGGAGCCCAGTGTGAGACTTGATCCCAGATTCCAAGATCCCAAGATCATGCCCTGAGCCGAAGGCAGACGCTCACCATTGAGCCACCCAGGCATCCTGCTTTCTCCTGCTTTTAAACAGCCAGAGGGATGGTAACAATAATAATAAAAATATATCTAGGCAACCCCCTCAAGGAGATCAGATTTAAGTGAGAGCAAACCTTTTTTTCCTGGACCATAGATGTTTTTTTCCAGGCCCACAGATCAGCAATCACTCAACCACATGGGATGCCTAGCAATGCCTCCCTTTTATTTTGTCCAACTGATTGAATTTGGAATATACAATTTATTTTAACAAGCACAATGAAAATAATTTTGGGCATTATGTCACTTTTGACTCTATGTAAAATCCAGAACAAATTCCCTTCCAAAAAAAATTCTCATCTTTCCTTTTTTTAAAATAGGCTTCATAACCAACGTGGGGCTTGAACTCATGACCGTGAGATCAAGAGTTGCATGCTCTACTGACCGAGTCAGCCAGGCATCCAGAAAAAAAAAAAATCCTCTTTTATCTTCTGTGAGTGAGTGGACCAGGGTGGTAGGGGTGCAGCGGGGAGGAGCAGTGCTGAAATAAAGACTATGAAACTGGACCAGCAGTTTGAGGGATCACGACATTAATTATTCAAAGCACTGTGATAATGATCGTGTCACTGTGCCTAATTTATGGTACTAAGGAAATGCTAGTGATAATCATATTATTATGGGATATGAAAAATACTTTGTAATTAATGAAATACATAGACTGGTGTTTGGTTTTTATTAAGTTGGTTTGCAAAAGTGGAAGATTATATTACTTAGTAATAATTACTATAAATTTCCCTCATCACCCCAGCCCTCAGTAGAACATCCATTCTGGTACAAACACACATATGTCCACACAAACATCAATTCCATTTCCTGACTCACTTTAATCAATTTGAATAAAAATGTTTTTATATCATTTCTCTTCCATCAGGGCTTTTACAGATTGCCTCATCTTACTAATTTATTACCATAAGGAGCTCCTCTATCTGGCTGTGGTCACTTGAAACTGCCCCTAGCCACGGCCCCTTCCCTTCACAAAGGGCCACCAAGGGGTGACTGAACTTCTTATCTGGACCTGGCCTTGAGACAATTGGGACCATGACCTCACCCTATCGGAATTGAGTCGTGTTTACTAAACATCCCTTTATGGCAACTAAAAATATATTTTAAAATGCTTAACGACAGTATAACACACAAATAAAAAGAAAAATAAGTCTATCAGAGAAAGACAATTATCATATAATCTCACTCATATGTGGAATTTAATAAAGAAAACAGAGGAACATGGGGGAAGGGAGGGAAAAATAAAATAAGATGAACTCAGGGAAGGTGACAAACCAGAAGAGATTCTTAACTACAAGGAACAAACTGAGGGTCACTGGAAGGGAGGTGGGTAGGCGGATGGGGTAACTGGGTGATGGACATTAAGGAGGGAAGGTGATATGATGAGCACTGGGTGTTACAGAGGACCATGAGTCACTGACCTCTACCTCTGAAACCAATAATAAGTTATATGTTAATTAACTGAATTTTAATTTTAAAAATCAATGTTAAAAAATAATAAAAAGAAAAAAGATGAAATTGTCCTGGAAGGAAAGAGACACAGGAAGACTAGACAATATGTTACAATATGCTAGACAAGAAGACCAGGTGCTCCCAAAAGAATTGCTTAATTTTGTTTTTTCCCTTTTTTCCAATTTTAAGACAATTTGAGGACTATATCTATTATTGCCTTTACCTGATCTTAAACTGTTAAGCACAGAAAAACATGTCTTTTTAAATATTGCATTTATAATTATTCTGTTTACAAAAGGAATATCTATTCATTGAAAAACAATGGAAATACAAAAAGTGCCCTAAAAATAAGATGAAAATAAGCTCGAATTCCAATATCTAGAAATAATTCTTATTAACATTCTGGGGAGATTCCATATATTTACTTTACAAAATGGAAATCGTTTTTATTTAACACTATATAGTGAAAAAATTTCCATGTCATTAAATTCTTCTGTCACAAGATTTTTACTGGTTGCCTAATATTCCATTGCTTGAATTTATCATAGTTTATTTTTGGATGATGAAGAGGTTTCTGGTCTTTCAGTGTCATAAACAATGCTTTAACAAACGTCTTTGTACATAAATCTTGAGTTTTGTTTTGTTTTTTAAGATTTTATCCATTTGTGTTTTATGAGAGACACACAGAGAGAGGCAGAGACACGGCAGAAGGAGAAGCAGGCTCCATGCAGGGAGCCCCATGCGAGACTCGATCCCAGGACCCCGGGATCACAACTTGAGCCAAAGGCAGATGCTCAACCACTGAGCCACCCAGGCATCCTGAATTTTTGTTTCTTTTTATGACCAATTCCTGAAAGCTAGCATCACATTCGATCACTGTTTATTCCTTGGGTTAAAGACAGAAACTTGCTTTAAGATAGATTTAACTCACTGATTTTCTCTTCTTTTCATGTACACTCAGGACTTGATGAGTTGGTTTTATTGCTTCCAACTCAATTGCTTTGCCAAGTTTTCTGGAAATAGAACATAAAAGACACACAAGCATAGTATTAGGATTTATATCTACTTTCCAAATTATTTTCTGGGGAAATAAAACGGCGTGTTCTAGCCTATCTATTCAGGGCAAGTTTGGAGAGGAATATTTGTAGCGCCCACGGTAAACGTGCGTGCCTCCCCTTAGGGTTGCAGCGAGCCCGGGTGGAGCACTCACTGATGTAGGTCCGCCGCTGACTTCATGCCCTCTGAGACCCAGGCCCAGGCACTGACGAGACAGCTGGAAGCAAAAAGGGGCGGGGGGACAAGAGTGGGTGTCATTTTTCCAGTAAAGTCTGAGAAATACAGCATCACCTCTGATTCACTACATACAGAAATTGCACTCATTTCCCTAATCTTATTTCAATTTGTCCACAGGACTAAATCCTGCCAACTTATCGACTGCACTATAGTCGTTACATATACGGCTTTTTTTCTGTCGTTTTTCATTTCGATTTTCATTTTCCATTTCATGTCTGTAGGAAACCAGGGAAATAAAGTAGCCAAAGGTGATCAAACATGTGGCCTGGGTGGAAGCTGGTGTGCGAGGTAGGGGTAGGGAGGCCTAAAGACACCCTTAGCAGGCTCCTCATTTCACCAGCGAACAAGCCGAGCTGGGCTCAGAAGAGTCAAGTGGTAGAGGACCCAAGAGCTCTGGGATGTCCCACGAGCTGCTCTTGGGGCTGGGGCCCAGCTACCATTCCCTGCTGGCTCTTAGGACAACAGCTCAGATATTTTGTCATCTCATAAGCAGGGTCTCCATTCAGCCAAAGGAGAACACCACCCTCTCCTAGGGTCCCAGGGTGGGGATGAGGAAGACTGATGCTCTAGTCTCCCAGAGAAGGGGCATAGCTCGCAGCAGCCCACATCACTGGCCTTCAGAAGCCAGAAGGATCAGTTCAATTGCATCAATAAACCTCAGGAACAGAGGCGTGTAGACGTGGATGGAGGGGAAGGGACAAATCCGTGCCACTACTGAAATCAGGAGGGTGCAGAGGTTTTGCCTCCAAGTGGCTTAGCCTGCACCCTGCAGTCAGAGAATCAGAGAGCTAGACCAGAGGGTGCCAGATTCTCTGCACATCCAAAGCCAGACACAAGACCAGAGACGATAGACTACTTAGTATAGACTTCCTGTTATAGGAAATTGCAAAAAGCACAAAACAAATCTGTCTCGATAGGAAGTAGATCAGTGGTTGTCTAGGTGGGGAAAGGATTGCAAACAGGCACGAAGAATCTTTTGATGTGACGAAAATGTCTACGTTTTCATTTGGGTGGTGCTACATAGCGTATACATCTATCAAAATCAACCAAACCATACACTTAAGAAGGGTGCTGGTTACTGCATGTAAATTAAACTTTAATAGAGTTGATTTTTTTTTTTTTTTTTTTTTTTTTTTTTTAGAGTTGATTTTTATAAAGGGAACCCAGGCACCCTTTTGGAGAAGAGAATCTGGCATTTGGTCCTCAGAGGAGCTGAGCAGCAGAGCAGAAAGCCTAGAGCTTCCGCCTCAGAGGTGTCTGCGTCTTTGTTTCCTGTGTGACCTTGGAAAGATCACTTGATTTCTCTGACTCTCGCTCAACTGATCTTTTAAAATAGGAATAAATCGGGTTATGTATACAACACAGATTTGGGTATAGATAAAAGCCAAAATTACTGTTTATTATTAAATATTATTGTAGTAATCCTGGTTAACCAAACTTTCTGGATATGTCAACTCTTTGGGAGCATCCATGCCAGATGCTAGGATTGCAGCACAATTAGACACACTCCCCTGCATCCCTACACCTCTCATTCTTTAGCAAGTAATTACAATCAAAGTCATAATGAACCCCACGGCCAGGTGTTAAACACATTTGTTGTATTATCTCATTTAATCCTCGCGGAAATTACATGAGATAGGTTCTATTTCCATTTTAAATACACACCAAGAGATAAAATAAATTGCTCTAATTCACCCACCTGATAAGGGGTAAAGGTAGAATTTAAATCAGGGCAGTGTCAATAAAGTCTATACTCAACCATTCTGCTATACTGGCTGCTTTGCAGTCTACTTACAGACTATCCTAAAAATCAAGCTCAAAGTCAAACAATTTCAAAGCCATTATTTGCTGTTACAGACGATGCCTAAGGAGGAGTAAGAATATGAGATCCAGAAGGCTTCTTCTTCCTTTCCCTCTCTCTTTCACCATCAAAAGAGGTCTTTGCAATGGCACTGCCAGTTTGCGGTGACATCTGCGAGCATCGGTCAAGAAGCTTTGTAACAAATTATCGTTAATGGACCATTTTTAGAATATCTTTTAGAATATCCAGTATCTTTCTTCTCTCCCTCAAAAGAAAAAAATCAACTTCATTCTGAAATATAATAAGGAAAATGTGAAGCACCAGTTTTTCAGGACCTAATGTGCTAATCTCTACATATATGATCTCATATAATATACACCCCCACACACAGACATGCGCACATATGCACAATGAAACGCATAGCACTACTCCATCTAATGTATGAAGGAAATCAAGGCGCAGGGCGGCCCGGATACTGGTCAGAGGTCATGGAGTTGAGATAAAGCAGGATTCAGACTTCTTGACTCCAAGACCTTCCAACGAAATGGCACTGCTTCCAAAGTAACATATCACCACCGAGGCTTATTATGGATACAGGCTCAGGAGTCATAAGGGCACCAGATTAGTCCAGTTCTACCGCTTATTATCTGTGTAATTGGGGCCATCTTCTTAAACTCTCCAATCCTCAAGACCTGGTCTGTAATGGGAACAATAATAAGACTTGCTAAGAGTTGCTGAGAGGATTAAAGGAGAGTATCTGTAAAAGCACTTAACGCAGGGCCTGGCACACAGTGAGTGCCCGAGAACTGTAAGCCAGGCTTCACATTACGCACCATGTTTTGTAAGAGGAAGCTGGAATCGAACATATGTCACTTTTTATAACTTTTTTTTTAAGATTTTATTTATTTATTCATGAGAGGCAGAGACGCAGGCAGAGACATAGGCAGAAGGAGAAGCAGGCTCCCCATGGGAAGTCTGATGCAGGACTCGATCCCAGGACCCCAGGATCACACCTGGAGCCAAAGACAGATGCTCAACCACTGAGCCACCCAGGCGTCCCACTTTTTATAACTTTTAGTCATCATTTTTGCCTTACCTGTTTCATATACTTACTTTTTTTGTGTGCTCTGTAATACTTTGCTGAACTTGACTGCCAGTTTCTGAAGTCCTTTGGCATAGCTAATCTCCAAGTTTGCCCTATTAGCAAAGGGATAATTGATAGATAGGATGCTGTGGCCAGATGTCAAACACACACACACACACACACACACACACACACACACACACAAATGAGTGAGGGCTCAGGCTGACGATGCAATATCTACACAAAGAAAAGAGATAATTTCTTTACTCTAAGGATCCTTTTGTGAAATCCTTAAGGATCTCCAAAAGGACCCTACAAAGGGAAAGTCTTTAATTTAACCTCCTTGTACACCTGTGTTATGGGTTGAATCGAATGCCCTTCCCACTCCCACAAAGATGTTAAAGACTTCACCCCCAGAGCCTGTGAATGTGGCCTTATTTGGAAATAGGGACTTTGCAGATCATCAAACCAAGATGAGGTCCTCAGGGTGAGCCCCGATCCAAGATGGCCTTAAAAAGAGAGGAAGGTTGGACATAGAGACCAACATGTGGGGAAAATGCCATGTAAGAGATGAGGACAAGAGATGGAGTGATGCAGCTACAAGCCAGGACGTCCCAAAGATTGGCGGCAAACCACCAGAGGCAAGAGAGCGGCAGGGACCAGATTCCTCCTCACAGCCCTCAGAAGCAACCAACCTGGCCAACGCCTGATCTCAGACATGGTCCAGTCTCCAGAGCCATGAGACAATACATTGCTGTTATCTAAGATGGCCAGTGTGCGGTACCCTGTGATGGCAGCCCTAGCTAATGCCCGGAGTGAGCAATGGAAGGCTTTCCTACTTATTCTGGGACATCAGCACCATTGGGTTAGTTTTGGATGATAATAGCTGGCAATAAAGTGATAAATTATGATGAAGGAGTAGGGTTTTTTTCTTTCTTTTGTTTCTCACTGCCCTTGATCAAGTCTTTATTCAAAATTAGCTGTCTGAAATGACTCCACATTTACAGAAGAAACAAATCTAGATTTATGCAGCGGGCTTCTTGTCTTCGGGGTGGGTTTCTTTTCTGCAGGCCTCTCAGCTGCTGGTTTCTTGGTCGTGGCAGCATTTTTCCCACCAAAGACTTCTGCTCCTTAACACCAACAGGCGTCTTTCCTTTCTTTCCTACCACAGGCTGCTTGCTGGGAAGCCCCTTCTCATCTGATTTGGCTTCTAGTGATGTTGCCGCCATATGCACCCAGAGTGTGTGCCGCCTGCCCTGGCGGAGAACAGTGTTCAGGCACATGGTCCTGGCATATGGGTTTCCCATCAACGGGATTCTCAGGTTCTTCAGTGAATTGTTTTTCAGGACTCCAAGATGAATCTTCTTGCGTGGTGCTCGGAGGGCTCTTTGGATCTCTGGGCTTTTCAAGATTTGGCTAAGATGTGTGTATCAAGCATCTTGTGCATGGGAAGGGTAGAGTCACTCTTGAGACAGGAAACCTTACACCAAGTGCCATACAGATCATCTAACTTGCAGAAAGTACTTTCAGTCCAAGTCTGGAAACATCCCATATACCCACCATGAGGAAGTTTCAGAAGGTTCAGTTTGCTGACATTAAGTAGAGTAATTCCAGGGATGTTTCTGAAGGCCTTGGTGACACCATTGTCCTCATTATAGATAATGCAGGGTTGCCCACATTGGATATGATGATGGTTTCCCATTTTGCCATTTCCAGGTCTCATGTGTTAACACACATACTTTTTTGATATCATTCCAGACCTTAAGTTTCTGAAGAAGCAAAATAGCCTCCTCGGTCTCATTGTAGCCTTCAACTTAATTTTTAGCCACCAAAGGGAGTTTAGGAACTTCCTCAGTACATCCTCCTTTAGACAGGAACAGCTCTGGTCAGGCTGAGGCACCCAGGGCACAGCAGATGACATATTGCTTCTGGATTTGTTCACTCAGTGGTGCCAATGGTGCCAGATTTTGGACGGTGCAAACATGAGGACCCCATGATACATATTTCCAAAAGTACCCTGGCTGCAATAGTGAATCCCAGTGCCTCAGGATGTGGGCATTCAAGCCATAGCTCTGCCAGTACTCGGACACTCAACACTTGTTTGATGCCCTGCTAATTCACTAACAGTTGGGAGGCTGTCTGTTGTTTTGGCACAAGTTGGTGTGAACAAAGTTCACAGTCTCTGGCGAAATGGGAGCCTTGAACACAGTAGGCAATGTGGCATTTTTGCCAGATGACTCCCCCTTTTCAGAATGCACCGATGCCAAAAGACAAGCACACATCGTGGCAGGGAGAGGAGAGGGCCTAGCTCCTCTCAACCCGGCGGCTCTTCGAAAAGCAAGAAGTAGCTTTTTAATGGAAAAGTGCAGAAGTGGACAAAACCAGATTTAGAAAATGAATTTCTGTTACTTTGTATGCAGGACAAGACCCAGCAGGGAATCTGGGCATGCCTCCAAAAGCAAACTCCTTAGTTCTTTTGAATAGATTGAATCACTGTTATCTTAAGCTGATTTTACCGTGTCCTACTTATAGGCCCATCTATAGATAACATAAAGACATACTCTTATTCATCTTCTCACTTTCAATAAAGATAACACACATGTAGGAAATTAAGTTCAATTTGTATTGTTTTCCTTCTGAATTGGGACCAGAGCAGGGTTTTTTTTTGTTGTTGTTGTTGTTGTTGTTTTTGTTGCATAGATTTTAGTCTTTGAATTCTTTTTTTATTATAACATATCTTTAGAATTATTTATGACTTCATTTCATTTGAAAAACAATCCCAGAGCTCCCTAGTAACGAACTTAATACCTGCATTTTTTTTAGTGCAGTGAAATTAGATTCAGTGTTATGGATTGAACAGAGAAAGATAGCTCTGTTTCATAAAATGGAATCCAGAGAACATGAGCTATTGATCTATTGCTAAACTTCTATTCAGCTGTCCCTGTTAGTACAGCTGTGTTCTCCTTTTTTTTAAATTTTTACCACTTTTTGAAAGAAAGAAGGCCACTGTAGAGTGCATGTTAAGGCCTAGGTGCAGAAAATGACATTTGGAATCAGAATTTGCCCAAGAATGGAGTGGGTATGGCAAATACTTTAAAATAATGAAGCCATAAATATCTCATTCCATTTAAAAATATTTTTTTCTGTGCTCTAGGAGTATGTTCCAGTTGATGGAGAGAGAGAATGCTGGTCAGCAGCAAGCTGGGAAAGACCATCACCTTGATGGAATCTACATGCTCTAGAAGCCCAGACCTCCACCTCTGGAGTGGCTTTAGGCACTGTTAAAAGGGAGTAATCACACCTACCTCAAGAGGTTTTATGATGATTAAAATTGTGATCGGAAGCCTAGGAGGGGCTGAACGACTAGATCAATTGCTGGACTGACCTGCATAACCTGACTCCTGGCTCCCTCTCTGATTTCCCCTCATCCCCTTGCTCCTCCTTAGTGGCTAAAGGCCATCCTGCCTCGGGGCCTTTGTACTTGCTGTGGCTGGGTAGTTTTTCTGCTACATAACCACATGGCATCTTCATATAAACCCTAACAGGTCTTGTGCAAACAGCACTAGCTCAGAGGCTACGCTGTCACTCTCCCCTATGGCTTTATTTAACTCCTAGAATTTACCGCTCTCTTACATCACATGCTTTCAGTGTATTTCTATGAACAATTCCATGAACACCTCTGAAATGTAAGCTCCACGAGGGCTAGGATTTGTTATGCTCACTGCTATATCTCTAGACCTAGAACAGTGCCGGCACATAACAGGCACTCGGTGTGTATGTCTTGAATGAATAAATCAATGAACGGACTTCCCATCAGATCTTGGCTAGAATTCTTACCTGGTCTCTGCTATATTTGTTTTTCCCACCTTTGAAAACTTTAAACCATTTAGATATATTCCTGCCCTGATGCATCGCTCAGGGCTTTCTAGCCTTTACAGTAGCTAGATACAAACCCTGTCCTAGTCCATCGCTAACCAGAGGGCTTTCCAGGACTTTCTTTTCCAGCTTTCCATTCTTACTTGGAAGCAGCACAGAAAGCATCAATATGATGACTCATTCCTACTGCTCAGCTCCGTGCTAGGCACCAAACAAGTTCCTAATAAATAGTAATTTTTCTAATCTGATTATCAAATACCCAAAGTATCTCTAAACATTCTGAACACCCCAAATATACAAAGATGGGAGGTATGGGGGAAAGAATCCAGTTTGCTCATCCACCAGCTCCAGGACAATTCAGCATGGCTTCTAACAGGATAGGTAACGCCGTGGGGCACAGCCTTTTCCTCGGAATTCGGTTTCACTCTCAGAATGTTCTTGCAGGCTGTCCAAGGAGTCCCAGGGGCCAAGCAGACAAAAAGAGGACAATTGCCAGAAGGAAGTGTTGCTTTCCTTAAAATTGTTAACTTAATCAGAGTCACCTGGGGGGTGGGGGGAAGCTGGGCTTCGGTGTCAAGAAAGGAAGAGGGTCCTGCTGGCTTTGCAGCCGTGGCCCCTGCACGTTGAGCCCCGGCCTCTGCTCCAGGCCCCAGGCCCCCTGGGGCTTGGCGGGAGCTCGGGGCACAGGAGCTAGAGATGCGACTGCCACGCACAGCAGCAGGCAGGGTTTGTAGTTTTTCAGTGTGGGGCGGTGCTTAAAAATTTCAGGTGTTTTTTTTTTTTTTTTTGGTCTCTGGAAACATCCTTTGTGACACATGGCTGACACTTGGCCTGCATTTCGTCTGTGCTGAAGCAGCGACAGCCAAGGTTTCCCCGGGCACTGCAGCGCGCCAGGCACCGACCCAAGGGCTTCAGGTCCCTGTCCTCCTTAGGCTGTGACAACCCCCACCGGGCTGGCCCCTGTCCCCAACCCGTTGCGCGACGCACGAGCTCAGCCCGCGCACCTGCCTGGGGCCGCCCAGGAGACGGTGTGGGGGCCCCGGGTCCCTGCCTCTGCAGGTGGGGGGGGGGGCTGCAGATGCAGACGGAGGCCAAGACCCCGGTGGTGGTGCCGGGGTCACCGCGGGGGACCTCCCTGCACCCCGAGCCCAGCTGAGCCTGTTTTCAGGCCTGGAGGCGGCGGGAAGCAGGGAGCCGGGCTATCAGCTGTCACCCCTGCAGCTCCCCGAGGCCAGGC